CGGCATACTGAAGAAACATCACACTTCTGCTGGTGCCAGTACAAGGAGAATGGATTTAACATAACGCGTAAGGGAAGAAGCGGAGGGAGGAAGGGGAAAGAGGTGAGGGCTGTCCACCGCTCTCGAGCACATAAAGGAGGCTCCTGGACAACAGGACCTGCTTAAAAGATTACAGCACTAATTGCACATCCACCTTGTTCAGTAAGGAAGGTCGCCCGAGCCACAGACCTTCACCAAGGCAGAGAGATCTGCGGCGAATGGCCTGGCGTGCGACAGGCAACCCTCCTCAAGCAACTGTATTTCTCCTTCTTCTGTACCTGCCAGGGGTGAAAACATCCTGCTCGGCACCGAAAAGCATACTGCTGCAAACCAGCTGGTGCCTGCATGCCCCTGCCGGAGCTGAGCCAGGGGGCACAGGGAGAGCCTCTATCGGTTCGAGCTGTGTGCTAACAGCACCAAGGAACTTACCCACAGAGAGGATCGTTGTTCTGGGTAGCGTGTAAATGCAAAGAAACTAGTTTTTGCCTGTGAAGGCTAGGCAAAGAATAAAAGAGAATTGTTCCCTTTTCCTGGATGTAGCAGAGCAATGACAAGATCTATCCGTGATCACAGAGGAAGACTGCGACAGACCTTTCCTACCTCCTTAGAAAGTAAGGGACAATTTCTTTCAAGAGCAGCATCAATAATTTCTCCAAGGCCAATAGGCAGTTCAAACCAGACAGCACAAATGCTCACTGGCATTTCAGGGGTGAACAGCAAATAAGCATTTATTCTTGAGCAGATGCCCTCCTCTCTTCCTTGTCTTAGATCTTCTTTCTTCTTAGGCAAAAAAAAAAAGAAAGACAAAGGCATTGCTAAGTAGCTTCCATGAAGGCATGTGGTGCCACCTTGCCAGGGCTGCCTAGGCCCTGGGCAGGACCCTGGGTGAACATCCCAAGGCATCTTGCCCGTGCCAGGTTTTATTTTGGCTGGATATAGTTTGGAAGGTGGTGTCACCTGGGAAGAAATGTGTGAGGAGATGGGCAGCAGAGATGCATGGAGGAGGAAGCAAGTGCAGATGAGGAGCTTGGATGGGGAGGAAGCGTGCAGCAGGGAGGAGATGGGTCTGCCCCAGCCAGCACCAATGTCGCTCTGTCAATGCGTGACTCAGTCAATCCACTCTGAGCATGACATTTCTCTGGGTAGAACATGTCCTCTCCCCAGTTCCTCCGCTCTAATGCACTGATGCTTTCATTTCAAAAGGTGACATGATTACAAGGGATGCTAAAAATACACATGGGCTTTCATTCCACTCCCCCGTCTCTGGTGGAAGAGAATTTCCAGCTTTCCTGTTAGCCAACAGTGATTTAATCTGAAAGGCGTTCGGGGGACAAGACCGTTTCTTTTCATTATCTCCTCCCTTTACACAACACTGACAACCAAGGCTCAAACTTGGAGCCCAGTCTAGTTCTTTGGGTGACCATCAGTTAGGCTCTCTTCCCTTTGGCTGGGCTAGGGGAGGGCTGTCTCCTACCCATCCTTCAGTCTGCCAGCCCTTCAGCACGATTAAAGGTCTAGCCCTGTAGTGCTCAAGTTTCCCATGCTGTTGGTCACCTCAGCTACTCTCTGAGGTCCTCACAGCCCCATCCTTGCCATAAGACTGAGGATACAGCAGACACACAGAGCTGGGGTTCATCACACATGCAGCAGCCAGATGCTCCCCCGAAACACAAGCCTCCCAGTAGACAGGCACCACGAAAGCCCTGCCAACCACCTGCCGCTCCTGGGTGGTCCTGGGGACCACGGCACAGGCTGGGTACATTGTCCTTCCAGGGGATACAGCTCATTGATGCATAGATCGGGTGCTCCAGTACTCACTCCAGACCAGAGATGAACATCCAGTCAGTCTCCATTTCACAAAGCCACCTTAGCATTTAAGAACAGGAGGGTTTAGATAACAAAGAGTTAATTATACAAATGTTAAACTTCTCTTGCTCCAAATACTCGATGTACTTGCAATTCTGCTAAAAAAAGAAAAAAAGAATCAGATATCAGGCAGACTTTATGCAGGGGAGCTCTTCAAACTGATGGGAAAGTATTTAATAAAATTACAGTTTATTCATATACCATTAGGTCACCATAAACTTTCTCTAGCTTTAAATGCTTTTACCTCACATCTGAAACATTTTCTTTTTCTGCTATGGTTTGCAAGACATATCCAAGTACCCAGTTATGGTAATTCCTGCTTATGCGTTAGGTATTCAAAATAGAAGACTTAATTGCAAGTTGTGAATGCTATAAATGGCAGGCAATAAATCTCAACAACAGAGGATCAAAAGGGAAGAAAAACCAGTAACATGGTTGTTTTTAATCTAAAACCAGGACACGTTAGTCTGGTACAAGCCCTCAGTTGTTAGAGGAAGAATTTTACCTCGAGCAACAGATTCTATGAAACCCTTCTGCATTAGGAAGATTAAGAAAAAATATAAACTCAGGATCATTGTCAGTATCCCAAAACTCCACGTTTTCATTGTTCTTTCAGAAGAAAATGCCCTTACGCCTCTGGTTTGTACACACTAAAGTGCAGGGCTATTAAAAAAATACTTCTTTTAATAAGGACTCCAAAATTTTAATTTCAAAATTTCATAGGAGACATTGATGACTGAAAACATTTTAAGCATATCTTTTGTGGTTCCCCAATTTTTTTATTTGCTTAAAATCAGACATTTACTCTTACACAATGGAAAACTCTTTTGAGGTGGATGTTTTGTAGCAGCATTCAAGCCTCCTAACAACTTCATAGCAAGGTCGGATGAAGAGGACATCTTTATGTGCAAAGCCAGCACTGCTCACTTTATGTTCTAGTTACCGATCAGAGATTGTTTAAGTATGAAATTTCTGTCAAGGGCTAATGAATTACTCCTTTGGGAGCGTGGAAGCGAGTTCCTTAGTAAACTCAGAAACATGAGCTACCTCTCCGGAAAAACGAAAAAGAGGGACAAGGACCTTCTGTTTCGATTACAGGATACGAGAGCTCGTTACTTTTTAAGAGATGACTGTACCGTGAAGACACTTTCACATATGCTTGGACCAACTGAAACACCTTTTCAGCTCCTATGAAACAAAGTCAGAAGTGAACTGAATATATATATTTAATACATATGTGCGCATGTACATATATAAATGCTAAGAGGGCTCTAAAGACATTCTGCAGATGTGCTGCCCCAAGGACAGAGTCTGCACCCTCTGCACCCCCCGAACTGTCTGTGCGTTTGTGGTGAAGGACTCCTGCCAGGACTGAGGCACTAAGCCACGGTGCCTGTGGGAGGCTGACAGCAACGCTGCTGGGCCCTCGCTGCACAATATATTCCATTTCTACAGAAGCTTGAAGAAAACAGATGTTTTTCCTCCACGGAGCAGCCAGCAGCGCCCTGCCCTCCCAGCACAGCAGCCGGCCACAGCAGCGTGCCCGCTCTCCCCGCCGTTGCTTACCCCGTCCCACCTGCGGCTCCACAGCAAGCCCGCGGCGCGGAGCAGCGGCTTCCCAGGTCAGCGCTGTTTCCTGACATGAAGGCATCCCCAGAGTGTGGCATCAAGAGCAGTGAGAGGCTGGCAAGTGGGGCCAGCAGCTAGCGTGACACTTCTCCAGTTCAGCTTCTAATGGGATAATGAAGTGCGATTTCAGGTAGTAACAGCTTCTGTTAGACATCGCCGGCCCGGGGCCGTGTACTCACAGGGAGAAAGAAGCTATCCTTGGTAAACAGATTTCACTTGGACTGAAAATTCAGTGTTTATTCACCGATTTGTTTCGTGAAAGCTGTTTCAGTGGCTTTCCCCCCATTATTGATTCAAATACTTTGGCTAATTATTTAGAACACAGCAGAGATTTGCCCAGCTGCCGCAGTTATCTGGGATTTAGCAAACAAGAGTCACCAACTGGTAAATGCAGTTCTTCTGTCAGGGAACTCATTGGCTTGCTTACACAGGAGCAAGGCTCACCGCCACGTATGGAAATGAGGGCTTTGCTGTCCCCTGAGGATAGTCCAAATGCTCCTAGGTCTGTTCAAAGCTCTTCAAAGAGACACAGAGAGAGACAGAGCTCACCTTCAAAGTAACTGCGGTTTATTATTTATTTCTACCTTTTCCTTTTTTAGTAAGAAAACAGTCGTAATTATTAATCATGATTGTTTTGAGTGAATCTAATTGCAGTGTTCCCTAAAGCATAGCGACACTCCCTCCACGTTCAGCCAACAGAAATAGAAAAATCACATCCTGAAAATAGCAGCAAGAGACAGTGAACAAAACCTGGCCTCTTACAACTTGTGTCATTAGACCAGACAGATCTTTGAGATAAAATCAGCTGGGAAGACTCTGGAAGACATCGCTACCTTCCCTCAGAAATCAGTCAGAGGTTTCCTGCAGCAGAAGTCTCCTAAATCCCTCCCTACGCCAAGGGATATAGAGCTGGCTGGTGCTGCCCCAAAAGTGGGTTTGGAAGGTGTTTGGCCAGCCCTCCCTGGGTAGAAGGCGAATTCACAATAGCCTCCACCTACCTCCTCTAGAAAGGGTAGCTGCAGAGACAACGGTGGAGTTTTTAAGTGATTCCCCCCCCCAGCACAAGGACTGGAAGATACCCTGTAGTTACAGAGTCTGCTGTAGGAATGCTGGGGTGAAATTCCTTTATTTATATACAAGGTTACACTATATAATTTTAAGGTCTCTTCCAGAGATAATATATATGATTTTCTGTTCCATGAGTGACTTAGGCAAAAAAACCCCACCCATGCATAATGTAATTACACCAATGCAACTGTTCCATATAATCCCTGAGGTAAGTCCACTACAGAAAGCAAATCAGGGACTGCTCCGAAAGAATTGCCAGAAAAACGTGCAGAACTCTCTGGCCAAAATCTGCAAGCAGAGAGCTCCTCACCTTGGAGGTTAGGCTGCTGCAGTTGCATCAGCATGAAAAATAAACCGGGAAGGAATGGACACACCACTCCTGTCACAGCAGTTAGAGTGGGTCACAGCTCAGGAAGGCAAGGCATGAAAAACCCCAATGTCCCAACAAAATCCCAGATCAAATAGCATGCAGAAGTTTTTACCTGGGGCATAAGCATCTCCCCCCACTCCATTCTGACTCAAGCTAACTCTTTTTCATTGCAAATTAATAGTTCTGTATATAAAAGCCAGAGTTAGGCAAGTTCTTCAGGCACTAAATCTGGCTGGCAATTACAGCAACCCTTGTGGATACTTAGCTTTGGATTTAGGAAGTTTACAATTACCAAAACTAGAAAAATATGGACATACTATCACTGTATTAGCATCACAGCATTTTAAGGGCTTCCTGTGTAAGAGATGTTTTTTGCCTGGTCCCAGAATCTGAGCAATGCAGGGGTGCAAAGCTCTCAGGAGACTTACCTATGCTGTCTTCTTCCAAAAAATTTTGGTTTTATATTTCCTCTAAAGTAACTAAAAAAAAAAAAAAATCTCCTAGTGCAGATAAATACTTTTGTTGGCTTTCAGTATAACAGAACCAAGCCCACCACTCCAGAAAGCAGAGGCCCACCTGCCTTTTGAAAGAGAAGTAATTCAGGCCAATGCATCTCAGCTGTACTTGCAAGGCACATTAAAGGGGACCTGACTTCTAAAGGCTGCTAGGTCTCTTAAAGAGCGGGAATGATAGTAGTTACAGATGGAAAAGACCTAGGAGGTCACTGAGCCCAGCCTGATGCCAGGGCAGGATAGAGTCCCCAAAGACAGGACATGTCAAGACTTCAACTGATACTACGCTTGATCCTAGCCAAAGGGCCACGAAGCGGTAATGGGAAGGGGACTGAGAATAAAAGCGATGGGCAGCTGCCTCTGTGTGCTCTGCAGAGGAGATCCAGGCAAACCTCTTTGGGATAATGCTCAGAATTCATCAGGTTAGGTAGATGGTATTTGACTTGCTGCTCCTAATAGATAATCCTGAAAGGTCTATGCCAGTTCTCTGCTGTAATAATAATGCTGCTTTGCATGTTACAAGAAACCTGAAGCAGCATCAATAAAGTAGTCTCACGGGGCCAGTTTGCTGACACACTGTTCATGCCCTTGCTGTACACAAGGTTATCTTTAATGGCAGAAAATATCTTTTCATTGCTCCCTGTTGACTTGGAGGAGATTATGGATCCTCTGACCTTACTGCCCATAGAACATAAGCTTTGGCTGAAGGATGGTCTAAGCAAAACTTTGAAGTAGGAAAGATGTATTCTCTTAGCTTATTTCATCCAGCAGACAGGACTGCATTCAGTCCTGCCCAAGAAAGTCTATAGTATGACTTGCCCTTGTCCGTGCCATGATTCGCCTCCTCAGAAAGGTAGCTTAGACGCATTACCTCTGTAGAAGGCAATGCTGGGGTTGCAATTTCTATCTAAACACCAGTGTGACAGTTAAGGTGTTTGCTGATCTTTGTAATCATAATTTACTGAGATAACTTTTATTTAAGCTGTCAAGAAACTCAGCAGCCTTTCAAGAGAAAAAAGAAATAATAAATTGAAAAATTACGGCAATATCACAGCTGCCCTAATTTTCAAATTCATTCAGAACCCACAACCCTGTCCCAGAGGGTTCAGGGAGAGAAGCTCAAGGGCACTAGCAGAGGAACACAGGCCCTTGCTGGTTTTGCAAGCACCCATCCGAAGGTTTTGTCTTAAATTCCATGAAAGCCAACAGTGGAGTTCCCCAGACTGCTTACTAAATGAGGAGACTTGTTGGGATCCAGCTGACCCAAAGCTAGCCTTATAAAGGCAAAGTGAACAAAACTCATCATCTAAGTGCCTTCCAAGATCATAGAATCATAGAATGTTTTGGGTTGGAAGGGACCCCTAGAGGTCATCTAGTCCAACTCCCCTGCAGTGAGCAGGGACACTGCTAAATACATCAGG